CCCCCCCCCCCCCCCCCCCCCCCCCCCCCCCCCCCCCCGGCTCACCTGGCCTTTAAAAATGCTTTGCTGAAGCCCTTTGGGGAGTTCGGGGTTGAGTACAAGCCATCCACTCCCCTTGCACGGCCCTGCAATAAACCTTTCTCTGCTCCAAACTCCGACATTTTGGTTTGTTGGTCTCACTGTGTGTCCGGCACATGAACTTGCATTTGGCAACACTAAGATTATTCCTTGAACCAATGTTCTCTCTCTTTTTTTCTGATTCCCTCCCTAAAAATCTAAAATAAAACTTTGATCCACTTTCATAATTTGAGAAATTTATTTTTGTTTTAACAATTGCTGTCAGGGAGTAATTATATTTGAATGAAGGAGTGACTCGCCAGGCTTAGTCTGGGGAAGCCCTGACCTTGAAGGAGTAGGCAGAAACCAGAGAGCATGGGGGACTGAGGCGGGCGGGCATGAGCTGGGGATCTCCCATGTCAGGATCAACTAATGGCAGTGGGAGTCATCAGGGGCTTACCAGGGAGATTTGGAGTGTCTACTGAAACAAAACAAAACAAAATAAAAAGCACACCGTAAAAGCTGAGAATTATGTTTTATTCAGGGACGTTACTGAGAACTATATAGCCTGGGATACAGCCTCTCAGCGCTCTGAGGAACTGTTCCGAAGAGGTAAGAGAGCAGCCTGGATCCATAGGAGTTTTTGCTGAAACAAAACAAAACATGTAGTAGAACGTCGAAAGATTATTGCTAATCACAAGAAAAAGCAGACATCTCAAGTTAATGATCTTAGTGCTTTTCTGTGTTTGGGAAGATGCGAGAGTCTGGGCATCTTAACTGTCTAGGGCGCGTATCCTGTTTTTCTCCCGAATTCCCTTCGGGGCTCACTGTCCTGGGGCAGCTGCAGTGGCTGAAGGCTTGATGGCGGGCACTATGTTTGTTTACCAGAATGCAGACACCATTCTTTGTTGACTGAAACGGCAGGCAACATTTTGTTTGTTTGGTTGGTTTTGGTCCACGGGAGGAAGCCCAGAGCAGTCGCTGAGGCTGAGAATTCTAGATTTCTAAGCTGGTTGTACCTTTTCACTCTTGTTACCTGTGCCCCCGCCAGGTTGGAGTAAACCCAGGAGATGATGAAGATGATGATAATGTAGACTATCTTCAGGACAACGCTCCAATGCAGATTTTATTATCCTTCTTATTTTACAAATGAAAAAAATGAAGACACAGGCAGGACAAAGGAGACAGAGAGAGCAGAGATGGGGGCTGGGAATTCACACCCCGAAGACCCTTGGGTTCCCTGCCTAACTTGGAGACATGCCTGGGAGGTCAAGATCAGATTTTAAGGGGATTTTTAAAAGTCTTTTATCAAAGAAATTCCCAAGGAAGACCCTGGCGGCCAGCCACTCCCCTGTGCTAATCAACACATTTCTGGTGGGATTCACTTCACTCCTGAGTGAGAAGAGCAGCAAGGAGGATTTTAACCACCCCCGTCACTGTTGTCAGAAGGAACCTTAGTTCTCCACTTCTGCGAGGTGAGAGGGAGTCCTATTGGAGGAACATCTCCAGTGCCTCCACTTCCTCTCCTGGGCTCCTGCTTATAGATGGATTACGTTTGGGACTGGAGAGATTGAAGAGAGATGGGTGTCTATTGGACCATGTTTCTCAGTGGGTGGGGCTAATGTGCATTTAAGCCAAAATATAAATTCCTCACTCCAGTCCCCCATCCTGCCTGACCTTATCTCTCACCACTGTCCCTGGCTCACTGCGCTGTAGCTGATCTTTCTTACTGGGAACACGCCAAACTCCTTGTGCCTCAGGGCCTTTGCACTTGCTCTATCCTCTGCCTGGAATGCTCTTCCTCCAGTCCATCCTGGTTCTTCTAGTCACTGAAGGCTCAGCTCACATGTCACCTCCTTAAAGACCTCTCCACTAACCCCCCCATCTCAGACTCCTATTTTTTCCTTTTGTCTTTTACATTTCTGTCTACCCCACTGAACTGTAGGATCCAAGAGGGAAGGGACTTTGTGTCACTCAGTCTCCTCACATCCAGCACAGTGGCTGGCCCATAGTAAGTTCTCAGTAAACATCAGTGGGATGTGTTTCCCGCTCTCTCCGCTTCCTCCTTCCCTGTGTTAAGATGGAGAAGGGGGTTGGGGAAGCCAGAACGGTGACCTCTCTCCAGCTTCCCTGAACCTGGGAGGGTGGGTTGAAATCCGGATAAGAGATGGGAGGTGTCTCTGCCTAGTTCTCCATTCTAGTTTCCCAAAGCCCCGCGGAGTCTGTAATATGAGCCTCAGCTGACAAGTTGGGTGTCTTCCTCCTAAGGTCCTGGGGATAGAATAAGTCAGTCTCAATTCTGTTGGACTTGCAATCCAACCAGCTCTCCAGCACTCACCCAAATATATTTTCTCGGTTGGCTGCTTGGTTTTTTTAGTTTTTATTTTATTTTTGGTCACCCCGCGAGGCTTGCGGGATCTTAGTTCCCCGACCAGGTATCGAACCTGGGCCACGGCAGTGAAAGCACCGAGTCCTATCCACTGGCTGCTTAGTTTTAAAATTTGATTTTCTGAGATGACCCGCGGGTTAATCAGAGCTGACAATCGAGTCAGTGCCACGCTGTACATGAGGTGGCACACCATGGTGGCTGGGAGCTCTGCAATCAGACCTGGATTCAAATCCTGGCTCCCGGACTTCCCAGCTGTGTGGCCCTAAGCTAAACCTCAACCTCTCTGGGCCTGCTCCCTTATCTGTAAAGTTGGGATAATAACCTGCTCGCTAGAGCTGTGACACAGTCAGCGTACGACACCAAGCAAATTGCTTGGTCCTAACTAGTTATTTTTATTTTAAATTATTATATTTTATTACAAAGAACTCTTGAAGACAAAAGGCCCAGAGGGCTAGTTCAGGTTCTGCCACTCACTGTGTGACGTTGGCAAGTCCCTTTTCCTCTCTAGAGCAGTTTCCCTCATCTGCAAACCGTGGGTGTGGGGTGGTGACTCAGGCAGCTAAAGGGATAGATTTGGGCTCAGCACAAAGGAGGCAGTTCTCACAAACATTAGGCTGCATGTGAGGTAGTGAGGTCCCCATCACCTCTGTAATGTATTACGTAGAATGCCAGAGCAGGAAGGAACCTCGAACAGCCGAGCCCTTCATTTTGCAAGCGTGGCGGTCAGGGTGAGTCAGAGTGATCGCAGACAAAGGAGCTTAAGATCCCCTGCCTGCCTGTCTGAGGCCCACTCCATACACCGACCGCCCAGATGTTAAGCACGGATCATCTACAAAGAGGCTGAGCAACGGCTCAGCTATGGGTCTGCCACTAGCTGTGTGACCTTGGCAAAGGGGCAGCTGCCAATCACAGCCCTGTCCACATCTCCACGTGCCCAAAGCTGCTCCAACACCGCTCCTCCCCCACCCCCCCAGCTCTCAATTGGAGGAATTTTTCCTGGAGCAGCTGGAAGTGCTGGGGAGTTGCCCCTGGCAGCAGCCCTCCACCAATGACAGATGGGAGTTGGTGGACAAACAGCTAGCTCCCCACCTCTAGGCATGCGCTGTGCCTGGCTTGCCCGAGCTCCCCCGCGGCGTGAAGCACCTGTTGCCCGCGCTGGCACTCTGTGCGATAACACCTTTTATTGCCTCCTGCCCTTCCCTGCCTCCTTTCCCCGCTCTCCAAGCAGGGCTTCCTGGGATCGCCACCTATTTCAACAAACTGCAGTTGAATCCTGGTCTCAGGGAAACCCAAGAAGACCGGAAGTTACTTAACCTCTTGGGTTGGTCTCAGTACCTCTGGATGGGAGGATTCTATGAGTTAATAGAGATAAAGCACTCGCAACAGTGCCTGGCAGTATGTTTGTTTAATAAATGGGGTGGGGAGGGTGGGGAAGGAGGTAAAGAACCTTTATTTATACAAAACTCCATCCCCTCCCATTCTACCCTCCTCAGCAAACACAAACACCAGGTGATGAAACAATTTTTGAGATGCACACGAACAATGCACATTACTCAACCTGAGGTCGGGGCCGAGGTGCAGGTGACGTGCCTGGTGTCGGCATCTTGGACGCCCAGCTCGCTGGATCAGGAGAGCTGAGCCACTCCCTCTGAACCACCGATGCCAGCAACGGCACGCATGGGGGCACACACCGGCCCCAAGGTCACCAGGCATGCTTGTTCTGGGGATCCAGTGATTAACAGGAACCCCCAACCTTACAGCTGTGTGGGAAACTGGCAGCACGCCGTCACTGCTCGGTAATCACAATTTTTCATGTCCTCGTTAACTCCACTTGACTAAGCGCCCCTCCGCAGCTCAGGCTCTGCTGCCAGTGTCAACCTCTTAAATGAACAGGCGTCTCTGGGCAAATGACCACCCTTTCTGGACCTCAGTTTCCCAAGGCCTCCCAAGTCATTCTCCCATTGGCTTGGTTAGCTTCTAGGCTCAGCATCCGATCCAGTGAGATGGTGGCAGCTAACCCCAGGCCTGGGCAAGACACGAGTAACAGAGCAACTCGGTGGACAAAACACACCTTGAGCGTGACAGCGATAGTCCACTGGGGCAGCTGTGGACCCGTGAAATGACCAACAGCTCATTCACAAGCCAAGGCGCCCGGGAACCTCCTGGTCTCTGCAGGTGCCTCCACTCCCATGGGACGTGGCGAGCCCGGGCCAACGTTGGGAGCCGGGGACGGCCGGTCTCCGTAGCCCCAGTGTTGGACAACTTCACCACTTCATAGCAGGGTTCCCTGAGTCTTTCGGAACCCTGCCAGCCGGGCTGCCTTCTGGAGGGAGGCATTTCGCAGTCATGGGTAAGGCCCAGTCCTCGCTTGTAGACTCCAGCAAGAAGTGGGCACGCACCTAGGAAGCGTCCGTGCACGTGGGCCCTGGGGAGAGCATGGCCACCACCGTGGAGGTCTGGCTTGAGCTCTGAGCATTGTTGGGGGCAGTTTGGAAGAACAGGGGGGACTTACCCTCCTCTGAGACACCCAAGGGTGCTAGGGAGGCCGGAGAGAGGCTGGCCTCCAATGGAGCCCCACCGAGCTGGGTGTCCAGGGCCCTCAGGGGGCTCACCGGGGGTGAGGACCCGTCCCCACGGCAGCAGCCACAGCAGGGGCTGGCCTCGATGTGGGCCTTGCCACGTTCCTCCTGGCTGTGGCATTGCTTCAGGTGGCCACACAGGTGGCAGGTGAGGGCTGAGTAGACAATGCCATTGCCCAGGTCATCCCCGGGGGGGTCTGTGGTTGGCTCCGGGGATAGCAGGGCCTTCTGGCTGTCTTGTTCCTTGACCACTGGCTCCAAACCAGGGCACTCTGGGGTGCTGCCTGGGAGGAGTGAGTCCTGAGGGCTGTGAGGGGGTTCCACGTCCAGTCCAAAGGTGAACAGGGGGACAGGGACTGGGGCAGGGGCTCTGGGGCAGCCAGCAGTGAGGCTCTGGAAGGGCTTGTAGCCCCCCTCCCCACTGCTGGGCTCAAGCCCAGATGTCCCCGGGCAGCTAGCGGTGCCAGTGAGCACGCTGGAGAAGGCCTTGTAGCCAGCCTCTCCGCAAGGGCCAAAGCCCTCCAGCCCGCTGTCCCGGGCGCCGCCCTGCTTCACCGCCTGCACAAACTCCCGGTAGCCACTGCTGGGGGCCGAGGCGGGGCCCGGGGCTGCCCTGCACTGGAGGACGCTCTGGCGCAGGATCTGCTCCCATGTTTCTGGCTCAGGCTGAGGGGCGGCGGGGATGCTGGGGTCCACTTCCCCCAGGTGTTCGGCCAGCTGTGGGTCTGAGTCAAGCTCTCCAGGGCCTGAGGACTGGCTCAGGAAGGTGCTGAAGTTGCGGTAAGTGGGGTTGTCTGTGATGATGCCGGGCATCTCTGGGAAAGCCAGCCTGGCTGGGCTCTGGGTTGGAGGACTTGACTCTGGGTTCAAAGGCTCCTTGTCCTCAGACGATGCCTCCTGGGGCCCCACACTTGGGGACGTGGCCCAGGGCCTCTGAACACTTGGATTTTCTAAAGGTGGAAGAAGGCAGGACTCCTCCAAGCCCTGTGGGCTAAAGCCCCCAACCTCGCCCCCGAGAAGGTCCAGGAACAGGCTCTCTGTCAGCCGGGCTGCGATGCCCTCCCTGCCCTCCTGGAAGCTGCCCCCGCTGCTGTCAGGTGATGGGCAGAAGCTCCCTTTATCTTCCTCCACTTCCTCTTCTTCATTCTCCACTTGGGCCTCAAACAGTTCCACGCACCGAACCAAGCTGATGCTCTCTGGCCAGAGGATTGTCTTGTTGACCTCCATGGGGTGCCATGCTACTTTTCCAGGACACTGGAAAGGCTCATTTCTAGCAGCCTTGGAGGAATCTTCATCCCTTTCCATGCCATGCTCCAGTAAACAGGGCAGAAGCTTGGCAAGACAAGTCTTCCAGTGTCTACAAGAGCAAAGTTCGATCAGGGTTCAGTTTCTCCACTTGAAAAATCTCCTATTCATCCTTCAAAGCCCAGCTCAAAATCACCCTGGACTGATGTTGAGACAGGCTGGGACTCAGGACCCTTTGCTGTAGTGCTACAATGCTTGCAAGTGGACAAACCTCACCTCCAGCAACAAAATACAAAGAAACTATATGGGACTAAAAAAAACTGGCTGCAAGCGCAGTTGGGGCTTGTACAAAAGATACAGAAAGGCCAAAAAACGCAACTGCCACTTCTGAAGAGCCAGGAGCAACACCAGGGTACTGCGCATGCCGCCTGCACTTCACACCACCAGAGGGGTGGGCAGAACACCTAAGCCACCCCTCCGGCCCAATCCCTGGACACACCCCTACCCTCACCCCATATCAGGAACCAGCTCGCCTGCCCCCCTCGGGGAGTGGGCAAGAGAACCTGCTACTTGTTCTCCAACACCCCCCAGCCCCTCACCCACCCCGCCCCGCCCCATTGCAGCAGGGGCCCCAGTAAAGCCTTGCCTGAATTTCTTGTCTGGCATCTAGTCAATATCTCTTGACTAGGGAAGGCCGAGAACCCTGGTGGGTATCAATGTCTACCTGTTGCAAACACACTTCCAGACTTTATAATCAATAATCTATCAGTCCACCCTCACTACTAGATTGGGAACTCCTTGAAGGCAGGGCCTGTGTCTTACTTTGGGACTTCTGGAGCCTGGCATATAATACAAACTCAATCTATTGAATAAGGAGAAGTCTTTGTCAGGGATGATGGTGTTTAAAATACCTATCAGGGGTAGGATAGGGAGGGTGGGAGGGAGACGCAAGAGGGAGCGGATATGGGGATATATGTATACATATAGCTGATTCACTTTGTTATACAGCAGAAACTGATACAACATTGTAAAGCAATTATATTCCAATAAAGACGTTAAAAAATAAATAAATAAATAAAAATAAAATACCTATCAACACCATAGCATAAGTAAGGGCCAATTAGAATGGCTGGGGAGTCCTAGGGCTGGGGCAGCATCCTGGAGTCCCCTGCTGTGCTAGGTATAAACCCATCAGTTATTGGATTGTGGGTAGGTTCAAGGGGCCCTGAGAGGGGGGCTAAGGAGGCCAGGTGGCATATTCGAGGGTCCAGGATGGTGGCATCTGCCCACCAGTGTGCCACTATGTCAACAGTTTAACAAGTGGTACAGCTGCCCTGCTTGTTACCCCCATCAGGCTTGCTCAGGACAGACTGGGCATCCCAAGGGGGTTCAGTACGTACCTGACCCCCAGTGAAACTCAGGGGACTCAGCCGGCAGCTGACCTACCCAGACCACCCCCTCCCCCTGCTATCCCTTGAAGTCTAGTGTCACAGGACAAGTGCTGAACAACAAGGCAGACTCTCAAGATGGGGCCCACCACCCCAATCCCATCCCCTTCCAAATCCACATAGGCGATGACCCAAGTTCATATACATACGGGCACTTGGCTGGTTCCTGGCCTTGGGACCGCTTCCCCCACAGTGACACCTAAAACACAGAGACAGCCAGTGACACAGAGCCGAGAGGCCTGCCGGCCCAGCCTATCGTCCAGCAAGGCTCAGCACGTGCTTGCCGTGAGAAGACTTTGAGTCTTGACATCACACAGGTCTGAGGTCTGATCAGGTCACTCCCCCTCTCTGAGCCTCAGTTTTCTGAGAATTAAGGAGGCTGCACTATTAAGTTGCTGTGGCTGATGGCAAAAATGGCCACAGTCTCTGAAGCTCCTCCTATCCCTGAACCTGGCATGGCTGTGTGACTTGCTTTGACCAATAGCATGTGGTGGAAGTGATACTGTGCTGACTGGGTCAGCCTGCTGAAGGATGACAGACACATCCATGGCTTAGTAACCTCCATGGCCCCAGATGTGTCAGCCACCTGCCAGACCTGTGAGTGAGGCCACTGGTACAGGCCCAGCCAAACCCAGGATCCTTCCACCCCCACTGCTGAGCAGAGCCCAACTACAGACTTGCAGAAGCAAGAGCTACATAAGTGGCTACTGTTTTAACTTTCTAAATTTTGGGATGATTTGTTACACAGCAAAATCTAACTGATACATAAACGACACTATGTGCAGGACGCTGTAATATACACTTCATGTGGATTGTCTTGGTGAATTCCAACACCAGCCCTGTTATAACCACTGCTATAACCCACACAAGAAAACTGAGGCTCAGAGAAGTTAAGCAACTTGTTAAGTCTAACCTGCAGGTAAGTGGCAGAGCCAGGGTTCAAAGCCAGTACCACTGGACTCCAGAGCCTGCTACAGGGTCCCTGGAGAATTGAGGACATTCAGACCTTCTGTTCTAGACGGGACCTGTATCCCCGCCTCCCCCTGTCCTAGAGAACCCTGATGGCACTAAGGCAAACCCCACCTGGCCATCGCATTGGGGAAGCTGACCCCACCCGTAGCTCAGGGGTGGCCACCTGGTTGGTCTCAAGTATTTCCACTCCTTACAACTGAGTGGTTTAGGAAAGAGACTGTGATGTAATTCAAGCCAATGAGAATGGAGAGATTTGCTAGTGTTTTGGGGGGGCAGTTTCCTGCTCCTAAGAGGAATATACAGAAAGCCTGTCCCCTTCTCCCTCTCCTTTTGGCCTCCTGCTCTGGTACAGGTACCTTGCCAAGAGATGACATGCCGATGACCTCAGGGATCATCTCCTCCCAAGGGAGGGAAAAAACCAACCCCAGAGGAACCCCCGTCTCCCACCCAGGCTGAAAGAACAGTCATGGAAGCCAAAGGGAAGGGAGTGAAAGCCTCTAGCTGCTGACTCAACCTACCCTGAAACCTTCCTGACTTCCCATGTACAACCCCAAAAGCCAAGAAATATCCTGAACATCCCAGACATCTTGAGTCGTATTTCCCTGTACACGTAGTGCACAGCATCCTTACCAACCCCCTCTCCTACCTGAGAATCCTGGATGACAACAGCCACGAGGGGGCTGTGGGCTGGGTTGGGAATTTGGTCCCACCATTCTTTCTTAATCCTGAAAAAGAAAAGGACAAGATGTTGGTCCCTGTATCACTAACAGGTTGACGTTCCTCCCATAAAAATTATCATAGTCACCAAGACTTATCAGGGGTCAGAGATCATGTCGACAGGTTTTTTGGCTGTCTCACCCTCACTCCGTGAAACAGGTTCTACTGCTAACCCCACTCTACCGATGAGAAGACTGAGGCCCAGGGAGGTGAAGTGACAGCTGGTGGGCAGAAGAGCCGGGTTTGGGCTCCAGCATCCTGCTACCCAGAGTGGAGTTCCTAATGTGGCCGCCTCTGCTCCAGAGGGAACAAGTTCCAGGGAATCAGGAGACACTCAAGCTGCAGAGAGAGAATTCTGGGTTTCCGCTTCAACAACCTTTACTCTGGAGCAGCCGAGGATAAGGTGCTGGGGAGAGGCCTGGGATGGCCTGAGAGGCTGAGGTATTCCTTCTCCCTTCCTGGGTCAGCCTGGAGCCACGGAGCGTCAGTGCTGGGAGGGAAGGTCCTCAGACACCCCCTGGATTAGCCTCCACCCACTCCACTCAGTCAGTTAACACACATTTATTGAGTACCTACTATGTACCACTCACTGTGCCAGGCCTCGGGGACACACAGTGAACAAGACAGGCAAAAACCCTGCAGAAATGATTATGTGACATCATTCATTCCTGGCGATAAGTGCCAGGAATAAAAATAAAGAAGATAGGGACTAGAGAGGAATAGTGTGATCCAGGAAGGCCTCCCTGAGGAGGTGACTTCTGAGAGGCAACTGTAGGTGGAGGAGGAGTTGGTCTCGGTGAGGCCTGGAAAAAGGGCTTTCCAGGCAGAGAGCACAGTGAGTGCAAAGGCTCCAAGGGAAGATCTTGCTTGGGGCGTTCAAAGAACAGCAAGGTTGGAGCATGGGAACACAGTGAGTAGGGGTAGGGAAGACAGACGATGGGGAAACTGAGGCTCAGAGAAGGAGAAAGACCAGCCCAGGGGGGCTCAGAGGCATCAGCAACAGACGTGGAGAGGGGACCTTGCATTCCCTGCACACCTACTGTGTGCCCGGCAGAGTACAGACCCTTGCTCACATCAATCCTCAACCATCGCCATCCTTAAGTGGTCAACTGGGGCCCGCTCGTCCCATTCCAGAGGTGGGAGGACCGAGGCTCTGAGACTCCATGATTCCAAGGGCTCAAGCTCACTGGAAACAAGGCTCCTTCTGTCCCCCTACACCGAGTGATCGGGGAGTCCCTTAGGACTCTCGGGACTGATGAAATAGGGACCCAAGGCTGAACAGAGGTTCAGAAACTTGGTCACACAGCTACGAAGCAGCAAGGCTAGGATCTGAACCCAGGTCTGACTCTGCAGGACAATCATCTAGAATTCCTCTGTCTATTGCCACGTGCCTTCAAGGGTCTGGGCCATACCCTGGGCATGATGCATCTCACTTCTGCCAAAGGAAGGCCCTGCCCCCAGCTCCCGCCCTGGCCAGCTCCTTTCCCCTAGTCAGGTCTCAGCTCAAACACCTCGTCAGAGGGGCCCGCACTGGCCTCCCCATCCAAAACAGGCCCTGGAGCATTTCACCCCCTCGCCCTGGCATATCTCCTTCAGCGCAAGGATCACTATGGAAAACAGCCATGGTTACTTGGTGGCCTGGCATCTTGTGCCTCCCCAAGGACACAGGGTCCCTGTCGGTCTCAGTGCCTCGCACATAGTAGCTGCTCAATAAACATCTATCGTTGAATGAAAGGGCTGCAAGCTGACAGATCGGAGGGGAAATTCCCACCCACTCCACACCACAGGGGGCTGGCTTGGCAGCCTCCTGCACAGCTCAGGACTCACTTGATGATGCTGACATAGCAGGACAGGCAGACAGCCAGGATGACGACGCAGGAGATGCTGACGCCCAGCGGGAGGCGCTGCTCCAAGGTCGCCTCGTAGTCTGGAAGTGGAGGGAAGCCATGAGCTTGCATCGCGCTGCGTCCAGCCTGGTCTCCATTTCCCAGAGCAGGAGACCGAGGCCTCGTGAAAGCATCCTCCACGGCTCTGCGTGAGCTGGCCGCTGCGTCCCCTCCTGCTCCCCTCTCCTGCATGTTGGGCCCTCGCCACATCGGCCTCCTTGCTGTCCCCTGTTCCTCCAAATCTCGGGGCCACCTCAGGATCTTGAACGTGCTGCTTTCTCTTTTTTGAAATAAGTGAGGTCAAGGGCAGAGACTCTGGAGCTGGACGGCCCCAGTTCGAAGCCTGACTCTGTCATATACTAGCTGGCGACCCAGAACAAGCCCCTCACTCACTCTGTACCTTGGTTTCCTCTCTGTGCAACGGGGTTAATAACTACTTAACTCATAGGGCTGTTCTGAGGATTGTACGATTTAATATACACTTGACGCCGTGCCCGCACGTCCATTCACACAGCTGGCCCCCTCTCCTTGCTCACTGTCAGGTCCTAAAAGTTCTCCCTCACACCTTCTCTACTGTTGCCTCCTCCCATCCCTTTCCCCTGCTTTATTTCCTTCCCAGAATTATTGTCCTCGGGATCTAGATCTCATTTATATTTTTGTTTACTTGTTTATTTTCTGTCTCCCCCTCTAGAATGTCAGTTCCACAAGAACAGGGATTTTTGCCTATTTTGTTCACCACTAGGCCAGCACGTAGTAGGAGCTCAAGAAATATCTGTGGAAATAATGAGTGTCCAGCACATGGTATCTGTCCCATACAAGTTATTTCCCTTCCCTTCTCCAGGTTAAAGGAAGAATCAAATCAATTTGACAAAACTTTCCTAAGCACTTACTGTGTGCTTGGCACCATGCTGGGCAATGGAGATATAGACACAGAGCAGATAGTACCCATAGAGCTCACAGCCCGGAGTGGGAGACAGGTGGTCAAGAGGTATCCATGGAACAGGATAGGCGATGCTGAGAGGGGCGTGTGGTGGGTTGGGTTGAGGTACCTGCCAATCACCACTGTGGCCAGCACTTTGAAGAATCCTTCCTTCATTGAATGTTCACAACAGCCCTTCCTTCTCCCCATTGTACGGATGATGCCCGAGGCAGCCTCCACCACGCAACAGCTATCTCCCCTTCTTCTTTGCTGGGCTGCAATGTGCCCACCCTGAGGTTTGGGCCAATCATGGGCCAAAACTAGTCCCCTTTTCAGACATTTCAGTTCCCAGCCTCCCTTGCAGTTGGGAGAGGCCACGTGACAGTCCTGAACAATGAAAGGCAAGGGAAAGGCCACCAGGACTGGAAATGTTTTTGTTTCATGATAAAAGATGCATGGGATGCACTCCTTGTGGCAGCCTTCCATTTCCTTTGGGTCTTGGGCATGAGGGTGTGTGCAGCAGACAACTTGGGGCCATGAGGTGACAAGGGTAAGGATAAAATGCTACCATGCTAGGGATGGCAGAGGGAAAGAAAAGACTCTGGGGTGATGTAACTGAGCGGCTGTATGAACCAGGAAGGTCCACTGGCAAGACTTCATTTTAGGGGAATTCCCTGGCGGCAGTCCAGTGATTAGGACTCTGCACTTCCACTGCAGGGGGCATGGGTTCGATCCCTGGTGGGGGAATTAAGATCCCACATGCTGCGCGGCCAAAAAAAAATAAAATAAAGACTTCGTTTTATGTAAGATAAGTCAATACTCTTTTGCAAAAGTGTGATAAAGTCGCAAAGAGTTGTTTGGAGGATGCAGCTACCAGGTGAGGGACTACATTTCCCAGAATCCCTTACAGCTATGTGTGGCCATGTGACCAGCTCCACCAATAGAGCTTGAGAGGAAGGGATGTGTGTCACTTCTGGGCTAAGACTTTTAAGAAGCAGGTGTGGTCTCCCCGCTCTCATTCCCTTTCTGCTGGCTGGATGCAGATGATGGCAGGTCCACAGAGCAGGGATTCTTAACTTGGGGTCCACAGACCTCCAACATGGTTGCCGTTAGGATTTAGGGGTCTGGGAACTTGGATGGGAAAGAAATGATATCTTTGTTTTCACTAACTTCTGAAACCTGGCATTTCCTCCCATTAGGAATAGAGGGAGCAAACCACAGTAATAGCAGCGTTAGTTACTTAGCCCCCATCAGAAGTCACAGCTATTCTCAAATCACCTGACAGCTGCAGTAGCAGGAAATACCATTTATGTTCATCTACTTTGAAATTACAGTATTTATGACAACTACCACTAGATCCTGTTTTTAATGTGTTATTAAAGAAGCATGTATTCCTAGATAACAAGTATATTTTAAAATCGTTTTATAATCGCATTTCAATAAAATTAGGTTTCCCTTGAAGGCCTATGTACTTTATTTTATACGTTGAAAAATATTATACTGGCTGTGGTTGCCAAGGGGGGAAGGTGGGGAGGAGGGATGAATTGGGAGGTTGGGACTGGCATATGCACACTACTATATATAAAATAGATAATCAACAAGGACCTACTGTACAGCACAGGGAACTCTACTCAATACTCTGTAATAACCTACATGGGAAAAGAATCTGAAAAAGAATAGATATATGAATATGTATGACTACATCACTCTGCTGGACACCTGAAACTAACACAACGTTGTGAATCAACTATACTCTAAAATAAAATTAAAAATTAAAAAAAATAAAAATATTATTCTGAGATGAGGTCCACAGGCTTCACCAGACTGCCAAAGGGGTCCATGATACAGAAAGGCTGAGAATCTCTGTCCTAGAGAATGACGGAGCCACAGGGAGGAAAACCACCTACCAATCAGCAAAGTTCGTATTGAATTGTTATGTGAGCAAGAAACATATTTCTACAGTGTTAAGCCGCAGAACTCGTGTGTTTGTTACCGTAACCTACCCTACCCTGACCAGTACACCACATCAGTTGGTAATTCCGTCACTGCAATTAGAGCATCCTGTGATATGGAAACCAGATGTTTGGCTTGGGGAAGTCTCTGGCCACAGAATGAAAGTGGGGAACAGAGACGCTAACTGCTGGGAATTCCCTGGTGGCCTCGTGGTTAGAATTCCGGGCTTTCATTGCCGTGGCCCAGGTTCAATCCCTGGTTCCGTGTTCAGGGAACTGAGATCCTGCAAGCCACGTGGCGCGGCCGACTGCTCAGGACTCCCAGCAGGATACTCACAGTTCAGCCACTTGGCACTGGGGCTCCACTCACTCCAGGTGCTGTTGTAGCTCTGAGCCCAGGCCTTCACCTGGGCGCTGTAGGAAGCTCCAGACTTCAGGGTGCTGGCTGCAAAGCGGAGGGTGGGCCCCTTGTAGGTCACGTTATAAATTCTGAACTGGTAGAGGAAAGGGAGCCATTAGTGCACCGAGTCTGGGGCAGGGGAGTACCAGCTCCCACCCGGGCTGCTGTCCTTAGCTGACCCCACAATGTGTAAGAGACACCAGCCTAGGTATTTGGTTATTCCTCCAATTTCAGGCCCTTGTTTGTCACTTCCACAACTGTGACCAGAATCGAGCAGGATGGGTCAGGGAACCAGCCCTTATCCTGACCCCTACTCCCACCCTGATCAGCCATTTTGACGTTACTGGGGCAAGTCGATGAACCTTTCTGAGTTTTAGTTTCCTCATCTGTACAATGAAGGTAAGAGTTCCTACTGCCACTTTCTGGCTGTGTGACCTTAGATAAGTAACATAACTTCTCTGGACCTTGATGTCTTCTTCTGCAACATGGCGATAATAAAAGTGCCTACCTCCCAGGGTTTCTGTGAGGATTAAAGGGGTTAACACAGGTAAGCACTTCGGACAGGGCCAGGCATGCGGGGAGCACGAGAGTGATCTTTCTGAAGCACAGACAGGGTCACTGTGTCCCTCTCTCTCCTTCAAGGGCTCCCTAGAGGCTCCAAAGTCAAGCCCAAACACAATGGCCCATCATCTCAGTCCCGCCCGACCTAGCCCCAACTGGGAAGGAAGGTTCAAGATCTGTTGTTAAGTGAAAAAGGTAACATGAAGATTAGTATGTGTTGTCTGTTGCCTTTCATGTTCAAAACATAGAGGGAGAAGGCATAGTGATGGTGGCAGACAGACTCATATGGCCCCGTGACCCCACCTTGTATCACGCCCTTGTGTAATCCCCTCTCCTTGCCTAAAGGGGCAGGGGGACCTAAGACTTGTTCCTAACCAACAGAATATGGTGAAGGTGATGGATACATAGGGACTACGTGGATGTGATTCCATTATGCAAGGCTGTAACTCCAACTTGCTAGGAGACTCTCTCCCCCTTGCTGGCTTTGAAAAGGCCACAAGGGAAGGAACTGCGGGCGGCCTCCCAACAAAGGTCAGCAAGAACCCGACGCTCTCAGTTCAAAGCCCACAAGAAACTGGATGCTGCCAACATCACAGGAGCTTGGAAGCAAGCCCCTGGCCAACCCCTGCGTGTGCGGCCTTGTGAGACCCTAAGCAGAGGACCCAGCTGAGCCGTGCCCAGACTCCAGACCCCCAGAAACTCTGGGGCAATAAATACGTGCTGTTTCAAGCAGTTCTGTTTGCAGTAATATTATCCTGTAATAATAAAAACTTCACGGTGATGAAGGAACACACACACATTTGCTCGTACAGGCATAGACTCTCTCTGGAAGGACACACATGCCCCCACACCCTCTGCCTGCTCTAGCCTGGCCTTCCCCTCCTGGCAAGAGACGGGGAGCAGTGGTCAACCTCTGGGAGAGGTAATGGAGATCGGGGTTAGGAGAGAAACATAGTTCCTTTCTAAGTCCTTTGGTAGCCTTTGAATTTTTTATTTCATGTGAATATTACTTTTATTTTTAAGACTTTAAAAAAATAAAAAATGAAGTAAAGTTTGGGTTCAGGATGGATTCTGACAGCACGACAGTGGCCTGAATCCTCTGCCTGGGCTTCTCCCCCAGTGGAGGGTCCATCCCTTCGCAGCCCCCCCCCCTCCAATCCCCCACAGCCCCTTCCCAGCTCCTGGCAACACTACTCCTGCTGGCAGGTTGGAAGCACCTGGGGGCAACGGTCTGGTGTAAAGGGGGCCGAGGGGAGGTGTGCACAGCAAGGAAGCAAAGTCCTAACAGCTTGCTGGAGAAACTGGAGGGCAGCTGGAACTTTCCAGGGAAGCTGGGGACAGGGTGGAAGTGACAGGAGGAGACCAGGGCAGGGACAGAAGGACACTCTTACTGCCGGTGTTCCTTTCTTTCTAAATCGCAGTAAACAGGAAGCAGCAGCTGGATCTCGTTCACTGAAGGAATCACACACCTTAGAGAGGAGTAGGGAATTGGGAAATGGTTTACTAAGAAACAGAAAAAGAAATTGAGCTTCCGAGGAACTACTTGTGGTTGGTGTGTTTTTTAACAAAAAAGGCCAGGTGTTCGGGAGACCATTCTGAGAGAAAGATCCGGAAGAAGAGAACAGCACAGGTCCCTCAGTCCAAATCCTGGCTTCAAATCCCAGCTTGGCCATTTCCAGCTGTGGGACACTGGGCGAGTCATTCCACCTCTCCAAACCTCAGTGTCCTGGTCACTAAAATGGGTAGACAAACACCTTCCCACCTGCAGGGCTTTCCCAGTCATTAGTGATAATACACATTGAGCCTGGCATATAGTAAGCACCCGCGACTTTATCATGAACGTGGCATTCATGGCCCTCAGTAAGCTTGTGGCCTCATTTTCTGCCTTTTCACTGTACACACTCCCACAGACCCATAATCCTCAGAGATGCCATGCATTTTCATGCCTCCAAGCCTTGGCTCATGTAGTTCCCTCTGCCTGGCCTACCATTCCCTAGCTAGAGAACTCCTATACATCCTTCACTGCCCAAGCCAAAACTCTAACTCCATTATAGAACCTCGTCCAGAAATCATCCAGGACAATGAGCATCTCCATCTCCCAAATTCCACAGCGAGTTTCTAATATTTTTAGAATTGATCCCACCAGTCTGAGCCACAGGTGGTGTCTGCAATACTGTAGCAAACACAGCTGGGCACCCACCCAGCATCTACACAATTGGGGTCAGGTACCGAAAGCTCAGGGCAGGTAAGCCTCTGTCTCCAGTTCCAGGGTTAATTCTCATTGGTCTAAACCAATCACGGCTATTTCATTCCCTAGCCTGTGACTGGTTAGAGAGGAGCATGTGACTATCTCTGGCCAATGACTAATGAGGGGAATTCTTCAGGCCCGGTTCTGTCCCTGGAAAGGGAGAGACGGGGGAAGGGTGTCTCAGTAGATTCTGCCCCACCAGCAAGAGAAGCTGGACCTGGAATTCTGAGGCCTGAGGCAGCCCCGAGCACCTACATGACCATTAAGACATAGCCCAGGCACAATTCTGTCCGCTGGCTGGAGTCTGGTGCTGGGGCCTGAACCCAGCTGTGTTTCAGCCAGCCCAGTCTCTGTTTCCTCTTCCGCAGAACCTCCTTTGGGGAGCCACCCCTCCTTCATTTTCAGCCCATCTGGTTTGGGTGAGGCTGACCTGACCTGCTCCAGAGGTGGGCATGTGACTCAGCCCTGGCCAGTGAGAACACTGCACCAGCACCCCGTCTCCTGCCCACAGCCTGCGACAGGTTCAGAGAGTGGCATGTGATCCCAGGCAGATAACTGATCATTGGCCCCAGGACTTTCACTGGGACTGTCTGGAGAGAAGAACTTTTCCCACTGCGGTTTTAAGATGCAGGCCTGGAGCTGCTAGTAGACGTATTGGCAGCTACATGAGGGAAGAGCCTGCCTAAAAGTGAAGCCAACATAGAATAAAGCAGGACCAAAGGATGGAGATTCCTGGAACCTGGATCCAGCCATGACAAGCAAATAACTGATATTCCTTTGGGCCCTATAGGTTGTACCCTTCTCTCCCCTCCAGCCTATGCCCTGAACGAAGCCTGCACAGGCCCAGGAACGGGAAGGGGATTTACTGACAAAACTGACCCTGTGTCTTTCCTCAGCGTCTGTGCCAACCACCTCTTCTCGACTGCTCTGAGAGCCTGGCTGCCCCACTCCTGCTTCTACCCCACATCCTGGCCCAGTGCCAAGGAGGAAAACCACACTTGAGAGATGTAATCAATACCTGCCACCCGCCCCCGGCTTGGCCAGGAAGAGAAGAAGCAGGGACGGAAGCTGATGTGACAGCTCAAGATGTCAGGGGCCTGCTCCCCGGCAGCCGAAGCCAGGCCAGCCTGGGTCCCGGGACACGAGGGCATGGCTCCCAGCAGACCCTCAACAGTTACAGGCCAGGGCGCGGGAGGGAGAGTCAGATGGGATTTCCAAGGCCTGTGGCACTCAGGAGAAAAGGAGGATGACGTTTATGACAGGGGAGCCTGTCTGTGTCATATATTGCCTGCTCTCCACAGCCCTATGGGATGAGTACTCTTGTTATCGCCACGTTACAGATGGGGAAACTGAGGCACAAGGAGGTTCAGCAAAAAACTCAAGATCATGCAGTAAGTGGCAGGGCAGGTACTGGAACCCAGCTCTGTAGGACTCTGAGGCCCCTGGTATTCACATGTCATCCCTGCAATGGGAATATTTGAGGGGAAAACATGGGTGGTAGCAAATGGCCTCCACCCCCAGTTGCACCTAAAATAGAGGTAGGCCAAGCCACCCACTGTGTAGCCCCTGTGATTCTTTACTTCATCGTTTCCTACAAATCAGCTCTCCCTATTTTAAAAATGTCAATACATTCGTTTTTTTAAAAAGGAACATCATAAAATAAAATAACAGAATAGAATAAGATAAAATAAAATGGAACCTCACTGCCACTGCTATGACCAGAAAGCAAGTATGAAATGCCGTGAGCATCTCATAAAGTAAACGCAATCAAAACCACGTAACGGCATGAAATTTCGGCTGAACTTGTTTTCTGGGGGAAGGCTCTGAGCCTGCAGCCTCTTCTCTCTGTTAAAGAGAAGGATTAGTAAACCGATCAGCTCAGCTGAGATGCCTCCCTTGACAGGGTCGGGCAGGAGCGCGGGCGTGGAGTGACCGTCTCACCCTGGGATTCGCTCATTTAAGTGTGTTTGGAGGTATCACCTAAAATCGCAAGTGTCCCGCCCCCTGGGAAACAAATGTGGTCCAGAGTCCTTCTCTATAGATGAGGAACAGTGCCCGGAAATAAACTCCCCTGTCTGCACGCTGGGAATCAGGGGCCTGGAGCGGTGGAGGGCCTGGTCCTGGCATAGAGCCAGAGGAGAAGCTGGGCATCCAGATCCCCAGGGTTTGCTGTCCAATCGCGGGTCACTTTCCCCATCTCCCACCCCAGAGCCTGAGTCTCGACCCGTCTGAGTCTCAAGAGGTCACAGAGACCCCACAGGGCGCCCACTCACATCCGTGGGGTCGTTCTCATTTGAGATGTTGATCAGGTAGGTGAGCTCGGAGTAAAGGTGATTCTCAGGAGGGTACGGGTTGTTCCACGTCAGCAGCCACGTGCGGGAGATGTTGGCGTGAACAGTGAGGTTTCTGGGCGCCAGGGGTTTCACTGTGGAGAAGTGGTGCCTGGTGAGGGGCTGGGCTGGGCGTCAGGAGGAGGCCCGGCCCGGCCTGCAGACCATTTAGATTTTCAGTCAACACCACCTCCGCAATACGTTGATGGGATACCACACAGATTTCGTCGTAGTGGAGAATTAAAACCTTGATACCGATTCTCATGTATCCACTTTAGTGGTTGTTAACTACATTTCCACAGTGAGTGCGAAATGCATAAGCAAAGTAACCCAAACTTTGGCCTTTCTACCTTTATCCTTCACTCTATTGGCCATCTCCGTGCTCTGTATTATTATCTACCAAGTATTTTTCTTTATTTTGATTCATGTGTTTTAAAACTTAGTCTCTTTTAAAGCAATCATATCCACAAGATCACAGGTATATTATGAGCATTAAAATCAACACACACATAAAAATTCTTTCAATTCATGGATTCGTTCCTGGGTCAATTTAAATCACCCCCCCACACACCCTCCAACTCCGGGTATGAGTAAGCCCTTCCGGAATTGCTGATGGAGCGGTGACTACTGTGAGCTCTGTGAGAATACTGCCTCTGCTGCTGAGGAGCTGTGTGACCTGAGGGCAGGTTACTTGCCTTCTCTGAACTAGGTACGGTTTTTTTCAATTGCAAAATAGGGATAATAACTGTCTTTTGGAAACTGAGGCTCAGAGAGGTAACATGACTTGCCCAAGATCATACAGCAATAAGTAGTGTTTTAAACTCCTGTCACTACACCCCAGCAAGCTCTTGGGGAATTCCTGCGGGAACTCTGGGTACCAGGATGAGGTCAGCCTCCCATGGTCTAGGCTGTCTGAAGAAGCAGCAGCTGAACAGTTGACAGAGGGCAGAAGGACGGTTCCCGGTTCAGTTTCTGATCTGCAGCAAGCATGCCTTCCACCAAATACGCCTCATTCAGCACCCCGATCTGGGCACTTAAACACAGGGGGTTGAAATATCTGAACCGAAGGGGTCCTGACGTACTGCTGAGCCCAGCCCCATTTCAAAGATGGGAGGACTGAGGCCCAGAAAGGGGCAACAACCCCATCAGGGGTTGGAGGCTGCTTGAATGGCCCCCTCCCCCAAGTGGAGCCTGCCTTCCCTGCCCTGGCGATGTGGGAACAACTGCAGCCCCGCCCTGCCCCGCCCTGCTCACCATGCTCACTGGGCTTGAAGGCGCTCTTCCACAGCAGCTGCTCCCCAGCCCACAGGTCCAGCTGGTAGGTGTCCACACTGACCACGTTATCCATATGCATATGGCACACGCACACCGCGCCAGCTCTGTTCTCGGGGACACACGTGTGGTTTCTGCAGACACAGATGTTGCATTAGGCTGGTCATGTGACCCACGGGCATCCCAGGATACACCTCAAGGAACCACAGGCCCTTCCAGCTTCCTGGTCACCCTGCCTCAAGGACCAGATCTGGGAACTTGGGAGCAGAGTGGCCAGGATGCAATGGGGACAGGGGCCTGGGACCGCCTCCCTGCTGGCCACAGCCCCTCACCACACCCACCATGGACTCTTATCCGCCCCTGACCCCAGCCTTGGACCCTGAAAGCCAGCAAAAGGGAAGAACCCACAGCATGAAAGAATTTGTAACAACATATGTGTCTGTTCCAGCACCCCTCTGGTAGCACAGTTTAGCCCAGTACAGCGGGCTGTGGCTTGGCAGGCACATACCCTGTGCCCCACAGCCTAATCCTAATGTGTCACCCAAAACAGCCAACCCCGTGTCTCATGGACTAGGCCAGGGGTCAGCAAACGTCTTCTGTAATGGGCCAGATGGTAAATATTTGGGGCTTTGAGGGCCATACTCTTGCTGTTCCAACTACACAACTCTGCTGATACAGCACAAAAAAGCCCCAGCCATAGACAATACGTAAACAAATGGGCATGGCTGTGTGTCAATAAAACTTTATTTACAGAAACAGGTGGTAGGCCAGATGTGGCCCATGGGCCATAGTTTGCAGATCCCTGGTCTAGGCCAATGTATCCCATACAGAAGCACAGCTGGTCCACCTTAGTATATCGTGGCATAACAGCTCTGTCAGTGTGGCCCACATCAGGTGTGCTGCATATCCCAATGTGCTCCACAACTGTGTGCCTTGTGTACTGGATCATGTCCTGGAGCACCACCTATACCAGTGGTCACCCCTGTGTACCATGGATTATCCCAGTGAACCACCTGGAAAAACATATCCCAAGTTCCATGGTCCACCAACCATGGCTGTGAACTCCACTGCTAACACTGTACCCCCAAACAATGGCCTAGCCCAGAGGTTCTCAAAGTGTGGTCTGAGATTCCACTGGGTCAAACTGGTTTCATAGTAATACTCTGACATTAGTTGCCATTTCCACTCTCCTTCTCTCACAAGTGTACAGTGGACTTTTCCAGAGGGTACATGATGTGTGATGATGGGCCGTTGCTCCAACAGCCTGTTGAATGTGAACTTGTGGGCTGTTGTGATTTAAAATTTCTGTTTTAATTTCCAATAGGGGAAATATTGGTAGATGTGAGCTACCCAGACTAAAGCTCTGGGGGTCCTCACTAATTCTTTTCTTTCTCCCTTTCTTTCTTTGGTTGCACCGGGTCTTAGTTGCAGCATGCAGGATCTTTAGTTGCACCATGCGAACTCTTAGTTGCGGCATGTGGGATCTGGTTCCCTGACCAGGGATAGAACCTGGGCCCCCTGCACTGGGAGTATGGACTCTTAGCCACTGGACCACCTAGAAAGTCCCTTAATCCTTAAGCACACAAGAGAGTCCTGAGATGAAAAAACTTGAGAACTGCTGGTCTAGTCCAGGATTCCACCACATCCACATGCCACGTGCCTCGGTGACACTGAGCTTGGAGCACCGTGACGCACTCGCTGTGTCTTACACACGCTGCACCCCAGGGCACCTCCCCTCTACCATGCCCAGTAAGCCCCCGTGAACCGCATTTAGCACACGCGCTCCAGGGTACCACGTGGGCCAGGCGAATTCCGAGGCAAACCTTCCCCGACTCCCAGTTCCAGCCCAGGCTTACTCAAAGTAGAAGAATTTCAGCTGGTAGAAGAGGCGGAGCTCAGCTCTGCAGTTGGTGGGCCGGGCCATCTCCCACTCACAGGTGGAGATGTTGACATAGTCGGAGAAGCAGGTGGGCCCCTGCAGGACCCTCACGCTCCCTGGGGAGACACAGGAGACCTCTGAGCAGCAGGAGCCTGACGACCAAGAGGGATGAGTTGGAAACCAGCCCAAACAGACAAAGGGGCCCATCACAAAACAACAAAACCACTGTCCGAGGCACGGTCCTCACAATGCAGGGGCCAGGAATGGGGCTCTGTGAGCTTCCCAGCTGGCACTGGGGTGATGCCTGCAGCTGAAGAAATACCCTTGGGTACAGGGTCCATCAGCGGAGACAGACCAAATGCACCTTTATAGTATGCAAATGCAACTACCTGCCTTTGGCCGAATTAAAGGAAAAATATGTCAGTCTAAGGGTAACTATCCCGCCATCACAGGCATCTATCCCACGGCGTGAGCCTGGTGCATAAACAATCAATACTGTAAAGGTTTGCTGAATGAAGGAAGGAATGAATGAATGAGAGATCGTGACTTACCACAGCCTGCCGCCCACACCAGGATCAGACAGCCCACCGAAAACGTGAGCCCAGAGTGAAGCCACCCCATTGGGAGATCCTACAGCGCCTGCTGGGAGCAAGTGAGCCCGTTAGCGCTGATTCATGATTCCCACGGCCCCCATCATGCCGAGCCCAGCTTTCAGAGCTCACCTCCAGATACAGCCCTCCCCCTACGCCGCATGCCCCCTCCACCCGGCCCCGCCTCCCTCTCCGCCAGGCCTGCACCTGCCCCCCTGCACACCTTTACTTCCTGCTGCTCTTCAAACATACCACGGATTCACTCTCACCCCCATGCCTCTCCTCTCCCTGTCCTCACTGATACTCTCTCAGTCTCTGTCTCTGTCTTCTCTCTCATTTGTTCATCTTATTCATCCATCTATTCATAATGAATAAATGGCCCCTTAATACTCCAGTGTTTATTAAGAAAAACAAGGACAGCCGCCGACATAGCTACAACACAACCATCCAAACCAGGAAATTAACACGGATGCATTACTGCCAGCTAATGCACAGACCCTGTTTCCCTTTTGCTAATTGCCACAGCAATGCTCTTTATAAGTCCAGGATCTGGTCCAGAATCATGCGTTGCATCTGATGATCATGCCATCCCAGTGCCCAGGTCTTGGCTTCTAAACACTATTCTCGACTGACAGGAACCAGGGCTCCTCGGAGAAACAGCTGACTCCAGGAGCAGGGAAAGTACAAGAAAAGCCTGGAATTCTTCTTGTGCCAGAAAGTAAGGAAGTACTCCACGAATGATGGGGACCGCTTGAAAAGACATAGGAGCCAGCTAGGATGGATGCCCACTGGCCAAAACGGGCACAATTAGAGCTTCACAATGAATATTATAGTAACCAACCGTAACCCTTAGAGTTAAAATAGGAGTGCAGGAGTCTATGGCGATAAAGATGAGTAAGTGGGGGGAAGGGACAGCTCTATTTCACCACAGCAGGCTCCAAGTATCTCCCCACAAACTCACATTAATTAACTTTACATAATTCACATACAATACTTGATATATGTAATTGTATAGAACCTTATATACAGAAACCTGGCAGATACCACCTTAACCAAATGGTCAGTGTCGACATGGCCAGGAATGGGACAAACCAAGGTCATGAGCTTTCTGAAAACAATGCCCTTGGAAGAACACAGTATCACTTCCCTGGGGTCCCTGCCCCCAGTGCACAAATCACATGGAAACATCAGACAAGCCTACACTGAGGGGCAGTCTATGCAGGAAGCGGCCTAGACTCTTCAAAAAGTGCCCTGGGGGCAAAAGGCAAGGAGAATGGGAGATGTTCTCCTTTCAACTGTGTGTCTGTCATCCCGAGAGCTGTGCTTGTCTTGTGCACGGCCAACCTCCTAGTGCCTACGGCAACGCCTGGCACGCAGCACGTGCTCAGGCAAGTCTGTCGAATAAATTCACTTTGGACATGATGTGGGGCCGCTGATGGGCTCAGCACGGGGCTGGAAAGCTCTCCCTAGGGGGAGACTTGGTATCCACTCAAAGTCTCAACTGGCCTTCCTGGCAGAGCCACAGTGAAGACCAAGGAAGGAGGGGTGGGGGTGGTGTTTGGAAAACAGTGATGCTGGTTTCCTCTGCCAAGTCCCAGCAACCTTCCTTCTTGTGAGTTCACAGACATCCACAGCATCCTGTGGCAGAGATGTCAAAGGGGTCACTCTAGCCCCAATTTTGAAGAAAGAGAAACAGAGAGGTCAAGACGCGTGTCCAAGGTCACACAGCAGAAAGGCTACCGTGGTAAAGTGCTTTAAAAAGGTGTGGGGGAGTGAAGCAACCCCCCCAGGGTAGATTAAATCATGACATCTACAGCGGTCAGGGTGTTATCTTTGATCTGTTTTGGAAGGCACATCCAGACATATGCATGTGCACACACACACACCCACGCACGCACACTGACTGGTTTCACAGGGATGGCAGGTGCTGCATCTCAGGAGAAACCGCGGCACAGATGTGGTGGTGACAAGGCCTCTCTGAACATCACAGGGAACGAAGGACGAAGGTGCAGAGAAGCAGAGGAATTAAAAAGAATAATTACCAAATGATCAGGGTGTAAGACACATGGCAAAAGGAAATAATTTCAAGTCCACACCCTGACATGTAGGGGTTGGGGGGAGTCTTGGGGTCACCTGCCCAGCCCAAGTGGCAACCTGAACAGGGGTGCCTGCCGAGATCCCATCTCTGACATGTTGCCATCCAGTTTCTGCTTGTACTCTTTCCATGGATGGGGTGGTCACCCCTAGGTCATTTTTGAGCAGAGCCTGACTATTGGAAACAGCTCCCAAGCATTTGTGTAGACAAAGTCCTGCGTATTAAGTACTCACATGTGCTTGACCTTTTGCCATGTGCACTAGAGTTATTACCTTATTGACTCTGCCCAAGAACCCTGCAAGATGGGTTGTTATTTCCACTTTCTTCCTAAGGGAACCGAGGCCAGAGAGATCAAATAACTTGCCCATCGGGTCCCACAGCTGGCGAGAGGGCAGGGCCAGAGTCAGAATCCAGGTCTGCTGGCTTCTGAGACCAAGGTACCTTTCAATATACCAACTTCAGTTTCTCCTAGAACCACAGACTGAACCCAACAAGATGGAATGAAATGGGCCAGGAAGAGTTGGTCAACCTGCTTCCTTCTAAACATTTTACATCGATTAATTCAATAATCAAAACAGCTCTTCTAGGGCTTCCCTGGTGGCGCAGTGGTTGAGAGTCCGCCTGCCAGTGCAGGGGATACGGGTTCGTGCCCCGGTCCGGGAAGATCCCACATGCCGCGGAGCGGCTGGGCCCGTGAGCCATGGCCACTGAGTCTGCGCATCTGGAGCCTGTGCTCCGCAACGGGAGAGGCCACAACAGTGAGAGGCCCACGTACCTCAAAAACAAAAACAAAAAAAACCCCAGCCAGCTCTTCTAGCTAAAGCTATATTAACAGCCAGCTCTTCTAGCTAAAGCTATATTAACAGATATGAGAGCCAAGACCAGGGAGGTGATAGTACGCAATTGTAACTGTGCATCCGTTTGGAAGAAATCTTGCTGATTTCAAGCTTGTCAAGGGGATGACAACTAATACAGAGAGGGCCTGAAAATCCCAGAGGGGCTAGAAGGCCTCTCCCTAAACGGCTCTGCTCTCCTATTTCCTGCAATCTCATCATGCACTCAACAAACATACAATATTTACCAAAATATTTAAACATGTCAAGTTTCTTTCTAAACATTTTACATACAATAATTCAATATTTAAAACAGCCCTCTTCAGTAACTACTAGTATTTTTTCCCATTTTTAGAGGAGGAAATCAAGGCTCAGGAAAGTTAAGTGACCTGTCTGAGGTTACAGAGAGGTGATAGTCCTGGGGGGCAGTCGGGCTCCAGAGCCTTGGCTCTTAACCACTATCTGTGTTTAGACCCCAGAGTTCTCAATGTTTTGGAGGTCCCTGACCCAATTGAACCTCTGATGCAAACTCCAAGCTCTGTTTCCAGAAAAGTGCACACGTTCAATTTTGCATTCCATCTTAGTGGTTCAGACACAGCGGCTCCTTGAGCTTACTGAAGCCCAAGTAAGGACTCCAGGTCAAAGCCCCACCCGCCCCCCAGGCAGTGAGCGGTTTTTGAGGGTCTTTGAATAGGGTCGTGGCAAGGTTTTTCCAAGACCCAGTCTGGGGCTGGGGAGAACGCTGAAACGAGGGGGAGCCGGCAGGGTGGGGGGCAGTTAGCAGTTGCTACAAACGCGAGTCTCTTCTCCATGATGAAACCAGAGTCATTTTCAAATTGGAAACCAGGCCATGATCTGTCTGTTCACTTCACTGGCCTCTGGCCTCTGGTGAAAGATGTCTTCAACCCGGGGTCGGGGTTGGGGGGGAGCACAGAGCCCCAGGGGTCCACAGCCCATCCAAGAGCAGCATCTCTGAGTCAGAATCAAATCCAAGCCCTGGAGTGAAAGCAGCCAATCGAAAAGGCTACATGCCGCTTGATTCCCTTTATGTAACATTCTTGAGATGATCAGACTATGGAAGTGGTGAATAGATTCGTGGTTGCCCGCACGGGTGAGGGGGGGGGGCAGCAGGGAGGGAGGGAGGCACGCTATAAAAGGGCAACACAGGGATCCTTGCGATGATAGGACTGTTCTGTATCTCACTGCAGTGGTGGAGACAAAAACTGTACACGTGATACAGTTAAATTAATAAGAAGCAAGCTAACAAAACGGATAAAAATAACATGTGCGTGCGTGTGCAAACACGCAAACACACGCAAACGAGTACCAGTAAAACGGAGGCAATCTGAGGAGGATCGGTGGTTTCTATCAATGTCGATACCTTGGTTGGGATACCGAACTATAGTTTTGTAAGATGTTACCCTTGGGGGAAACAGAGTAGAGGGGAATCTCTCTGTATTATTTCTTACAACTGCGTGGATTAATCCTTACAACAATTACCATAAAATAAGAAGTTTAAGAAAATGCAAAAAAAAAAAACAACCCAAACCACCCAAGCCCCTCTGATGATCTGGCCCCCGGAGACCCCACTACCATCCCCTCCTATTCCCTCCCTCGTGCTCCCTCCCCCACGAGCCTTCTGTCCCACTGGCCTTCTGACACACCCCTGTCCCTTTCCTCCCTCGCACCCTTTACACCCGGAAACACCATCCAGCGAGGACACCCTCTGTTACTTCTCATCACGGCACCCGGTTTATTTCTGTCATACACTTATCACCATCTCTCATCATATCTCTGAGGTTATATAGGTGAATGTTTATTTTATTTCAGTAGGTAGATGGCAAAGATAGAAAGATTTGACTGCAGAAATGTTTTGAACTTCCCCAGATCAAAACACACCGTAAAGAAAAAAAGCAAGCAAGCAAAAGATTAGCAGAAAGTGGCAATCTACATTACAGAAAGTGAAGGGCCTTAACATATAAAGTGGTCTTACAAATCAGCATGATAAACATTCCTTTAAGTAAAATAGCCATGGTCATTGCTTTGTCCCCTGTGCCTAAACAGTGCCTGACATGTACACAGTATGTGCTCATGAAACATCTATTAAATCAATGATTGGTTAAAATTCAACAACAATGAATACAATAATCTGTTTTTAAACATGGAGTACGTACCAAGCCTTTGCCCCTAATAACTGTCATTCACGTACAGTACTTATTACGTGCCAGGCGTGGTTCTAAGTGCTTATAATATATTAAGCAATTTAGTTCTCACAACTTTATGAAGTAGATGCCATTAAAGTCCCCATTTTAGGGCTTGCCTGGTGGCGCAGTGGTTAAGAATCCTCCTGCCAATGCAGGGGACACGGGTTCCGAGCCCCTGGCCCGGGAAGATCACACATGCTGCGGAGCAACTCGGCCCGTGTGCCACAACTACTGAGCCTGCGCTCTAGAGCCCGTGCTCCACAACAAGAGAAGCCACCGCAACGGTAAGGCCGCGCACCGCAAAGAAGAGTAGCCCCCACTCGCCGCAACTAGAGAAACCCTGCGCGCAGCGACGAAGACCCAACGCAGCCAAAAATAAAAAAATAATTAAAAAAAAAAAAATCCGGGCTCCCCCGGTGGCGCAGTGGTTGAGAGTCCGCCTGCCGATGCAGGGGACATGGGTTCGTGCCCCGGCCCGGGAAGACCCCACATGCCGCGGAGCGGCTGGGCCCGTGAGCCATGGCCACTGGGCCCGCGCGTCCGGAGCCTGTGCTCTGCAACGGGAGAGGCCACAACAGTGAGAGGCCCGCGTACCGCAAAAAAAAAAAAAAAAAAAAAAAAAATCCTCATTTTAATGATGAGGAGATGAAGGCACGGAGAGGCCAGAGCACTCGTTTGCGGTCGCAGAGCCGGGATTTGAACCCAGGCAATCTCACTCTAGAATCCACGCACCACTGCCTCTCAGAATGTTGTCCCTGCAGCCCTGGCATGTGGTGTTATTAGTCCGATTGGCCAAAGAGGAAACTTGAGGCCTACAGAGGGCAAGTGACAAAGCCAAGTTCATGGAGTAAGGAAGGAGCAGAGTGGGTGAAAGCCTGACCAAGAAAAGAGCAGAAGCAGACAGAGTGGGAAAACACTCCTGCTGACCGGGAAACACACTTAACTCACTCTTTTTATTTGCGGGGAGATGAGTGGCGAGTCTTGAAATGTCAGAAGCCAGCAGCGGCACAGAAGCGACCCAGCGGGGCTCTTCCTGAAGCCAGTGGGGTGTGCAGGCCTCCGGGTCCTCTCCCCTCTCTTGGCTGCAAACCGACGTGGAGGGGGTGGGAGGCTGGATCAGCAGACAGGATGCAGCCGGTCCTCTGGCAAGAGGCATGTGGATAGGAATCCTGGGACAGCAGGCGCTGCGGGTGACCTCCCTCTGGAGCCGCTGACCCCTGAAACTCCACAATCTTACGCTGGCCTGAAGCGTCTGCTGAGCTGGTCTGGCAGGGGGGGTAGGGGTACACTTCTCCACGGGTCAGCAGCCTTCCCAGAACTGCCGTCCAGCTAGGGTTCCCAGAAGTGAAAGCCACATCACCAGCCCCACCCAGGATAGTGAGGAAGTCCGGCCAGGGCCCCAAAATGGCCTGGGCTCTGCCTGCCTGCCCCACCCCCAGCCCAGAGAGTGGAGGGGAGGGGCGGCAGCAGCAAGAACCAGACACCTCGGCCAAAGAGCCCACCAGGCTCCCCCCGCGCCTACTGTGTGCTTCGGGTCCTCACCCCCTCGCAGGGGGCCCCATGTATTCTTGCTGCAGGTGTTTTCTCAGCACCTACTGCGTGCCAGCTACTACAGATGTGGAAAAGGCCATTCATTCATTCAGTCGTGCCTTTTTTCCTTCTTTCCCTTAACAAATATTTGAGCGAGGAGAGAAGCTACTGGAGGATTTGGGGCACAGAGGTGAGACTTCAAAGGCTCCCTCTGGCCTCTGGGGTCAAGGGCAGAAGCAGGGACCCATGAGGAGGCCACTGGACTAGCCCAGGCACCAGGTACCAGGTGCACCAGGGTTGTAGGGAAGAAGAGGTAAGAAGAGGTTAAATTCTAGATCTGCTGTGAAGGTAGAGTCAACAGGCTTTGCTGACAGAATGGAGTTCGGGGGCTGCGTCAGAGAAAAGGGGACAAGTAGGGGTCAAGAATGACTCTGAGGCTTTCGGCCGGAGCCACTGAAAGGATGCAGGTGCCACCCACCAAGATGGAGCGGGCTGTGGGAAGGACCAGCGTGAGGTCAGGCATCATCAGATACGCAAGAGGCTGTTGAGGACATGAGGAGGGGCGAGGAAGGGCCACCTGGTCCTACAGGGTTGGTGGGGGGCCAGGGGGCAGGTAAATGAAGAAGAATCCTCCAGGGGAGGGACGGCGGCATGTGGAGAGGAAGGAAGAATGTCCCCCAGAAGGCACGGTGGGCTCCGTGAGGGCAGGGGACGTGCTCCATCTTCTGGAAGCAGAACGCCTAGCCGGTGCCCCACACAGGGCAGGTACTCGATAAATGAGCTTATGTACTTTACTTTATTCTGACTTGTACACTTATACAGTGCTTCCTTCATGCCAGGTACTGTTCTAGGATGCTTTAAGACCCCGTATGAGATGAGTACAATTATTAAACCCATTTTACAGATTCTGAAGGATCCTAAGATAGGGAGGACGCGGCCCATTTCCCATCCTACAAGACAGGCCCTTGGCTGCAGTGAGGGATAGGGGTCATAGGGGATGAGAGCAGTGCAGTCAGAAGGGCCGGAAGACAACACTGTCTACCAGGGGTGGTAAGCGATTCAGACTCCTTCCTCAGGGCAGTAGGGAGCCACTGAAGGCTACTGGGCAGGAGAGGAGCTGCTTTCCAGAAAGCCCACTCTGACCTGCGTGTGGAGAACGAGTGCAGGAGTAGCTGACAGAAGAGGCGGTGCCGCTCGACCTGCAGAAGAGAAGCCAGGCTCTAGCTCTGTTTGGGAGGTAGACGTGGCAGAACTTGGTGATGACTGGTGGCTGGGAGCTGGGAGCAGGGAGGTGGCCTTGGGCTGGAGCACGGGCGGATGGACAGTGGCGGGTGCCGGGAAAGGCATGGTCTTGCTGCGGAAGACCATGCACTTCACCATACTGTGGACCTGGTGAGTCCAAGTAGGCGACGGGCCCCAAGAGGCATCCAGGAGGCAGTATGTCCTAGCGGCCTGGAGCTCAGAAGGAAGGCTCACGCTAGAGACCGGTTTGCAGGTCATCAGCTGTGGCTGAAGCCCACGGGAGCTTGCAGAGTGAGAGACACAGCCTTGTCTGAGAGGGGAGGGAGGGGGCTGGAGACCGTGAACCTCCTTCGTGGGATTCGGCTGGGCCAGAGCCCCAAGGGGGTGCACCATCTCCGGGACAGGCTGGCATCCTGTGCTAACAGCCACCTTATGGCAATGTGGACGCTCACATTGGCTGCGGACACATTAAGTCCAAATGTCCATGGGAGGGGCAGCCGGGTGACTCCATCTAGGATCCTGGAAGCCACGCCCATCCTCAGAAGGTACCAGTGCCCCCAGGGAGGAGGCTGCGCCTGAGGACCTGAGTGCAGACGTCACCTGCTCAGGACCAGCGGCCAGCCTCCCTCACTCTGCAAGCCCTTCTTCTGCTTTATTTCTCTTCCTGGCACTTACTCCTCACTGCCTGTCACACACGCATGTGTCCTGTGCACAGTCCAAATCCCCCAGAGAACACCAGTTCCTACAGGCTGTGCCCACCCTGTTCACTGCTATAGCCCTACAGCCTAGCACAGCGCCTGGCACACAGTAGCCGGGGTGGGGGGGTCCATAGATATTTGCTGAATGGAAGAATAAATGCACACACTCCCCCTGGCTGTGTGCAGTGCGGCCTGGCCAGCCATCCCTGATGGAGGCAGGGATACAGCTCCCAGAGCTGGCATTTTCTGCCTCTTACTGCTGGATAAACACTGACCAATTCTGGCTCAGTCTCCTCTGAGCCCAAGGCAGGCACCACACCGATCTTGGCCACCCCAAGAGGGGAGGGGGGAGCTGATCTCCAGAGAGCTGGTAATTGGGGCGTTACCTTGATTACTGCTCATTGCCCTGATACACAGATACAAGATGTCCCGGCCCCAAGATGCTGATTAGAGTTTGGCTGTCTTAGTGACAGTCACGGCTCCCAGTTCGCCTTCTTACTGAGGTCACCAGAAGTCACCATGATTGCCCCCAATTCCTTGAGTCTTTAGAGACCATGCCCTGGGCCCTTCTGCCCATAGGTTCCACCCTTCCCCAACTGAGGAACATGGAAGGTGCAATTATTATCATTCCCTTTGTAGACATGGGGAAACTGAGGCCCAGAGAGGTCCAGGAACCTGCCTAAGGATGCACAGCTAGTAAGAGGTGGGCCTGGGAATTGAACCCAGATCTTTTGGTTCTGGAGTCACAGTACAGCACCTGGCATGGAGGAAGCAGCCGTAAATTCACTCCTTTTATACACCTCTCTGTTTGCTCCTCCCAGCAAGCCCCGTGTGGAAGATGTGGTTAAACATTACCTGCACAGAGGAGGAAATTGATGCTCAGGGGAATTCAGAAATAGTCTCAAGGTAACGAGGCAGGAAGTGATGAACTAGAACTTGGCCTCCACCACGACCACTGTTTGCCCAGTCCTCACAGGGAGCATGTCTCAACAGGGACCAGGACTTTGGTCCCTGGGCAAACACAAAGCAGTCAGCACAGATAAGAGCTCCCTGTTCATGGTCTGTCTGCAGACAGGCGGGGGTTGGGATGGGGCTGTCCCTCGAGTTCTTTCTGTTGTCTCATCCTTTATCATTCTTGGCACGGTCAGGGACACACAGATGTGTGGGGACACCCACATGGGCAGGGACACCCACATGGGCAGGGACCCCAGAGCATCTAAGATGCGGAAGCGTAACTCTGAGCCTAAGCGCGTGGACTCTGCACTGACTGGCTGGGAGACCTTGACACACTGTGGTCCTCTCAGAGCCTCGGTCTCCTTATCTGTGAAATGAGAGCTGAACCACTTGCCTCCTGGGGCGGTTGAGGGGAGGCAAAGAGACCATGGCTGGCATAGCTGGGTAGAAGAGGCTTAGGGCAGTGCTGATGGAGCAGGCAGCAAAAGCTCGTCTCCAAACGCCAAGTACAGACCCTGAGTACATGACAGCTGCCATGACAGCACAGAAGGGTCTCAGAGTACAAGCTGAGTATAGGAAGCTGGGCTTGAAAGGGCAATACTCATTCCATTTATATGAAGTTCAAAAGGACACAAACCAATCTTGGGGTTAGTGGTCAGGAAAGTGTCCTGGGGAGGGTGGGGCGGGAGAGAATCTTCTGGGGGGCGAGTCACGCTTTGTTTCCTGATCAGGTTATACACGCTTGTGTTTACTTTGTGAAGCCGGGCACTTGTCTGCATGCACATTGCAATAAAAAGAAAAAGAAAAATACGATGGGTGAGAGGGAAGGGAATAGAGCAGAGGGTGCACGAGGCTACTGGGCTTTGTCATCGAAGGTCTCAGAACAGCCAGTTCTCAGAGCTGGTGGATCCCCAAAGACCCCGGAGTCCAAGTCAGCTAACACTTCAAGTTCCCCTAGGCCTTTGCCATGGGGCCATCAACCCTCTAGTTGCCTGCTTCCAGCAATGGGGCGCTCACTCCCTCCGGGGGCAGTTCCCAGCTCCCAGCCACCTCTCACGGCCACGGAGGGTCATCTCCCCCAACGTCAACCAAATATCTAAGAGAATGCAGATGCATGACCTCAGTGAGTAGACAGGGGGCAGGTGGCGAGCACATGTCCAGTCCTAACAGGCACCCGCCACTCTGCTTTGCACCATGTAAATGAAGACCTAGGGGTCACTAGGGTGCTCGATTTTTCACAAGAAGCTAGAAACCCAGATTTGTATGTATATTACCCTGGTTTTTAAATGCTCAGTTTTTAAAAACCACACCCCACATTTGTGGTCCCTCTGTGGCTTACAGAGGTGATGTCCTCCTGGGTGAGTGGGTGTCCCGAGACACCAGAAGACCCCCAATGAGAGAAAAGAAGCAACAGGTGAGACCCCTCCCCCGCACCTTCCCTAAGCTCCCTAAGCTCTGGCACCCCCAAACGTTCCTTCCTTCTGTCCCCGTGGGATGCGGTTGTTATGGTGATGAGAGGGAGCAAGGCTGGAGACACGCCATCACCGCCTGCCCTCCTGTGGCCGAGCAGTATCATTTGTCGGTGAGGAGTTCCAAAATTTTGCAAAAGCCCCATTGCTTTCCTCCTCAGGGGGTGCGGACGAGGGGATCAAAGAGCAGTCCTTACACCCCCCCAGCCCTGCCCCACCCTCCCCATATGAGCCACAGACTCCCCACTTCCCTTGGGCTGTTTCCTCTGCCTCTCAGTGCCCTCCTCCTACGCCACCCTCTCAGGATGTTCTTGATCAAACGCTACTCTTTCCTCCCCCCACCTCCCAGCTCTGCCTGTCCCTCTGTCCAAACATCATTTCCATGCTCATAAAGAGTGAGCCGTGCGCATCATTTTGCTCCATTTCCAGACTGAAAGTCCTCCAGGCCAGGGACTGTGTCTCATGCACGTCTCCTCGCGAACGCAGAGGCAGCCAACCAATGATGGCAAAATTGAAGTCGTTGGCTGCCTCATTGTGGATGTGTTCCTTCCTCCAGGCCTTTGTACATGCCATTCTCACTGCCTAGAATGCCGGCCAGTGTTTACACCCAATGACTAGTATGAGTACAGGGATGTTTACGATGCCTTTCATATTCACTATGTGTTGTTATTTTCACAAAAACCCTAGAGAGGGGCAAAGCGAGTCATATCCCCATGTTATGGTTTAGGAAATTGAGGCCCAAAGAGGGAAAATGACTTGCCCAAGATCACTGAGCAAGTGGGTTGCAGAGCTGAGACTAAAATGCAAGTTTCTTTTTTGTTTTTTTTTTAAACTCATGCGGCTACCAGACTGGGGTCAAAGAAAAGTCCTTCAACGTTAGAGGGGAAGAAAAGAAAATAAAGAATTGGAAAGTTAGTCAGGAAAAATGCAAATAAATATAACAGGTATACGATATTAATACTGAATAAAATGGAATTTAAGGCATCAAAGTATTAAAAGAAAGGTAGCTGTTTTATACTGATAAAAGGAGCAGCTCACCAAGAAGGTATAAAAATCATGAGCCCTCTTCTACTCGTATTGTATTTTGTTTATAAGCACCTAACAACATACCTACAAAAACGAAGCAAAAAACTGAGAGGAGGCCAGAGAAAAATGAACAGATCCTCTATCATGGTGGGAGATATATCAGGTAGAGAAAACTACATAAAAACAGAGAAAATATAAAGGATATAATTAGTAAGCGTGAACAAAATATATTTCTAGAACTTTAACCCAACAAAAACACACATCCTTTCAAATACAAGAGGAACAAACAGAAAAAAAATGGACCAGAAAATCCTACAAAGACGATCTCGACAAATTCTCCATCACTGATATCATAGAATCTACAAATGTTGACCATTATGCAATACATTCAGAAATCAACAATCAAAAAATAACTTAAAATATTCCATCTACCTTAAAAAATTATAAGGCACATAACACTTTTAATCAAAAGGGAAATTATAAACCATAATAGTTAGCAGTGAATGACACTGTGTAACAAGACCTGTGGAATGAAGCCATAGCAGTACTCAGAGAAAAAATTATAGCCTGCAGTTGATTTATTAGAAAACAAGAAAGACTGAGAACGACTGTTAGCCTCAAACAAGGAACCTCAGAATGGAAGAAACCTTAATTGACAGCAGCTCGTGTAGAGGAGAGAACTGGAGGGTTTAGCTGACAAGTTCAATACCAGCCCCAACTGGGGTGTGGCCACTACAAAGTATGATTGCAGGTGGTATCAACAGAGGTATGGACTCCAGATCCAAGGAGGTGAGAGTCTCCCTCCTCTCTGACTGGGCAGGCTTTGGGGGAGGCAATGGTTTCTATGTGGGACTCTGACCAATTAGATCATGCCCAAAGCCAGACTGAAGAGGAAGAATGACTGAATGAATTATGGCTGTGTCATCTGAATAAGAGAATCACTGCGCTGGGATGGAAGAGGATGCTTACTACCTCCAAGGGGTAGAACCAAAGCCAGAAAGCAAAAGTTCCTGGAAAGCTAATTTGGCTAAATCCCAGGAAAGATATTCTCCCAGTTAGAGCTGTCCAACAGTAGAATCTGGTTTCTAGAAGGCCTACTCCCCATAAGCAAGACTGTTGGGAAGCTGAGGGTCTGCGGGCTTGGAGGGCTGCCCCCGCAGAGATCTGGCGTCCCTCCTCTCTGGAGAAGTTCCTCTTAAAAAGACAAAACACTCTCTTGGCTGCTTCAGGAAACCCTCAGGCCTTCCGCAGTTCACCAAAACAGCTCTTGGTGACTGTGCTCCCTTATTTCTAACCTAGAAACCTACTTCTTTTAAACTCTGCTCCTTGGGCTGGATGGCTCAGAATAGTAGTTAAATGCATAGGCTTCCAGCCCTGGATTTGAATCCAGATTCTGCCCCTTCCAAGTTGTATCACCGAGTAAGTCTCTTCCCTGAGCCTCAGTTTCCTCCCCAGGGAACTGGGGAGGCACCGACGCATCTACCTGCCTCCATGACCCTCAGCCCCACCACGCCCCCTCTGCTTTAGCGTGTCTGCCATGCTGGGAAGATGCTCATCGGTAAAATAATCTGTAAAATGATCTGGGCAATGATTGGATCACCTGTGACGTCGGTCCTGGCCTGACCACATGCACAGGGCTGCTGGGCAGATCGATGGGAGGTGAGCAGTTCCCACCCCGTAGAGTTACTGTACAAGTTGAGTGAGACAATGCAGGTCTCTGGCTGCTATTGGCCTGCCTGACCTCTCTCCCCAGGGCTCTTCAACTTGCTTCAACTCCAGCCAACCACATCAGCTTCCTCAGGGCCTTTGCACTTGCTGTTCCTTCTGCTGGGATCACTCTTTCCCCAGATATCCACGTGTCTATGTCAGGTCTTAGCTCAAAAGTCACCTCCAGGGCTTCCCTGGTGGCGCAGTGGTTGAGAGTCCGCCTGCCGATGCAGGGGACACGGGTTCGTGCCCCGGTCCGGGAAGATCCCACATGCCGCAGAGCCATGGCCGCTGAGCCTGTGCGTCTGGAGCCTGTGCTCCGCAACGGGAGAGGCCACAACAGTGAGAGACCCGCGTACCACAAAAAAAAACACAAAAAAGTCACCTCCACCACTAGATGGTCAGCTCCATGAGGGCCCTTGTTGCTGCATCAGTCACTGCTGTGTCCCCAGCCCCAGCAAGCTTGCTGAGTTGAGTATAAGCAGCGACCCCCACGCTGGCACTCAAGACATGTGCGCGCCTGTCACTTTCAGCTTCGCAAACTGGCTCTGCAGGCCGGAGGCTGTTAGTCCCTTCACAGTCCTGTTGCTTAGAACACCTCCTCCCTCTCAGGAAAGCCGTCCCACCAAACCCTCGAGGGCCAAGCTTCTCTTCCCCTCACCCGGACCCCCCTCCTCCCTCTCTCTCTGGAGGGAGGGGGAGGGGGGACTCAGATGCCAGCCCAGACGGTGAGCATCCCCAGACAGTCGCAGCTCCCAGGCCTGCTTTGGTGAAGACTTGGATTTCTTAAGTGACGTCGAGAAGATGAGGAGTCCCAAGGGGGCCCCAAGAATGAAAATGAGTCAGTCGGAGGCAAACCCGAAACCTCAGAGGCATCACCACTTCTTGGAAAGGCGAAGATGTGTGCATTTAGACAGAACTGTGCACGCAGAGCGGGGGCAAGCAGCAGGCCCGGAAATGGGGCCGGTCGGGCGGACGAGACCTTTTCTAGCATCCTCTCTGGTTCCCTCCACCTGGCCCGCTCCTCCAGGGTCTCTGCCCCTTGTCCTTCTAAATGTCCCTCCTCAGAGAGGCTCCCCTGACTCCACCCCCACACTGCTTCCAAGCACTGTCACTATGTGACACGATACTGTAGGTGCCTGTCATCCTGGGTGAGATCCTGGGGGCCAGGTGTGTTTCCGAATTCAGAATTACTCAGATTAGAGAAAGGTCATCTTGTATAAAATACCACCCATCAAAACTACCCCTGCCCGCCATGGGGCCCAAGGAGCACACTGTGACCAGTCACATGAACATCTCTGCAGCGAGACACACGAGTCTTCACACCAAGGGGAGTAAGTAAAGCCTCCAAAGAGCCTCGCATTTAGTTCATGTCAGGTCTTGCTTCCACCTGAGTGATGAGAACGCTTCCGGTTTCCAGAGCTTGTGGATTTCCAATGTTAGATAAGGAGTATAGATATGTGTATGTTTGTTTGTGTACTGCCTGTTTTCAGAACTAGAAGTCGAACTCCAGGAGAGCAAGGACTTTGTCCAGTGCTCTATCAGTAGCACCTGGCACCTTGCCTGGCACACAAGTACCCAATAAATATCCGAAGAAGAAATGAATGAGGAAGCCAGGCGCTGGATGTGAAGAAGTGACTCTGTCCTGATTGGGGAGAGAAATAGCAATCACGGGGCTGTGGGCAAGGTATCTCCAAAAATCATCTCACGAATACCGCCCCCTCCCCCTCCAAACACCCATTTTACTGACAAGCAAACTGAGGCTCAGAGAGGTTAAGCAACTTCCTCCAGATCCCACAGATAGGAAGAACAGCAAGCTGACATTTGAACCTGGGGCCCCTGTCTTCAAGCCTTTTCTCTGCCTCAGGGTCAGAGAAGCAGAATGACTTGGCTGGAAGCAAAGCAACAGGGGTTACGGCCCATCAGATGCAGGGTCCCCTGGTCTCTCTAGGTCTCTCATCCTCCACTGGGGTTCTCCCATCCACATTCTTGCAAGGGCAAATTCGTACAACATCTAGGCAAGCGTCGGCCTCTCTTCTAGCCGAGCCAAGGGAAATCTGGTCAAACAAGACTGGTATGTCTCCACGGTCCTGAGGACTGCTCCAAAAGATGTCCCTCTCGGCCACCCCAGCAAAGTGGCACAGTGGGAAAGGACAGAGGTTGGGAAGGAAAGCAGGTTTGAATCCCTCCATCTGTCACTCTTAGATGTGCTCTTAGATGTACGACCTTAGGCAAGGCCGCCGCACACATCTCTGAGTCTTGGTTTCCTCACCTGCAAAATGGGCAGATTAAATGCCATCCAATGGGGTGCATTTATTTACTTAACAAATATATGGTGCTTGCTTCACACTGGGCGCTGTTCTGTATGCTTGGCACTTATGGATTCAGTTCATCATCACTACAAATGGTATAAAGTAGACACTATAATTTCACAGATGGGGAAACTGAAGTCTTGAGAAG